ATTAAAAATATTATCCAAAAATAATATATTTAGAAAAACGTTAGATGAAACTTTTTGATTATTTTGAAATTTTTACAATACATTTATTTCATATTAATCCAATGCAATACTAAAATATATAATAAAAAAAAAAAAAATTATATGGTAAATTAATTTCAAATTTTAATTTTACTCGAAAAACAAGCACATAATTTAATATTGTAATGAATATAATTTATTCAGACGTAAGTAACTATAATTTAAGTAGTTCTAAAATTAGTTTTCCTCTTTATTGACAAAAAAAGTATATATCATATTTGCTTAAATCAATATATATAGTTTAATATAAGGTCCCAAAATAATTTTGTGTTGATGTTTATAGTATATAAAAAGTTAATTTCTAGATCAACTTCATTAAAATTATTTTAAGTTTTACTTATTTAGCGAATTTGAATTTTTCTAAATCAAGTAGTATGGATTTAATATTAATTTTCTCAATATTTATGATGTTATACCAAATTTCTGTTTCAAGCTGTTCTAATATGCTTACTGAAAAGTTATTGAATTTAGATGTAACTAAAGAGAAGTCAGATTCAAGGCCAAAAAATGAGGAAATAGATTTAGTTGTAAATAGTCGTGGATTTGATAGATTGGATTACAAATTATATTTTTATGAATGTGATATAGGATTCGATTCATCATATTTATCACATCGTAAATATGATATTAAATATGAACAAGGTGGTATCATTTTAAATACAGTTTATCTATGTCTTATTGAAGAACTCTATAAAAAGAATTATGATGCATTAATTGACTATCTGTTTTGTTCGTTGGAACACGAGAAAATTATAAGAGAGTTACAAAAAATATGGAGTGGTATAACCATGTTGGAACCTTTGTTAGACCATATGATAAACGGCCTTAAGTTTTTTAATTATAAAGAAAAAGCTGTGCAAGATAATCTTGAAAACCTGAAAAATCGATTAAAGCAATCACAGTAGAAAACACGCTTAGTGAAGATGAACTATATCAGAAGTTTAATCAAATAATCAATGTCGTATCATTTGATTATAGTCTTAAGAGTTTTAAAAGTTCACATTCTGTTGAAAATTTTAAAGATCCAATTATCACTAATTTTGTTAACAGCTTATGTGGTGGTGTTAAGAGTTATAACATACATGATAAGTTACTTTTACAACCCGCCAAAAACTATTTTAAAAAAACAATTTTGGATGGTATCACGGTTTTTTATTTCAATTTTGGATTTAGATATAATATGTGGCAACAAGAAAATCTTAAATACGCTTCTAGAATGTATAATAACGTTCGCTATCTCGAAGAAAAGGGTAATATATTATGTTCATGTTGTAAGTGAAATCTTTGTAATTCTAATTATAATTGAACTTATTCACTTATAAAGTTGGTAGAAATTATTTTCAAATTGTACTGTCTAATATGTTTTGTTTTGGAATAAATAATCATGTGCTAATTTGAAGTCTCTATTATACGTCTTTAAACTAAACTTTTATAGAGTTTTTTCAATTTTTTTTTTTTAAATTGATTCAGTTTTTCATACTGAACTTTTTTATATAAAAAAAATTTGTTGGCAAAGTCCAGTTAGAAAGTTATGAACTTTCAAAGTTTTGTTATATACTTATGTTCTTTTTGTTTTTTTGCATTAATTCATTAGAAAAAGTATTCTCAATGATTTAGTAATCGAATTTTATTTATTTAATTATACTAAAAAAAATATTTATATGTGTGTAGGTACTTAAATAAAAAAATTTACATTATCATACATAACATACATATCTTAAACACAAGGGTAATAAATTATGTTCATGTTCATTTTCACATTCAATTATGTTCAAGTTACAAAGATTATGTCGTCGTAATATGCTAGATGTACATTAGGGTGACCCTTAGCTACATGAGAGGTTTTTTTTTTTTTAATATTTGTAAGTGCCACCCCCTAGAATTATTCAAATACATGAAAAAATAAATTGTACAAAATTTGGTGACGATTGGTCAACTCTAAGACGTGCCCCAAGGGGGTTAAAAATAACCCCTAAGGGTGATTTTTTAGTTGTTTATGTCTATCTCAAAAACTTTAGCTTTTTCGAAAATGTTTATTTGGACTATTTTGTAGGTTTACAATTTTTCTATAAAAAGTATATTTACAAAAATTTTCGAAAAGTTCTTATTTAGCCCTGAAAAAATAAAAACGTATATGTTCTATTTTTACCATTAAAATTGTTAATTTATAAATCGTTCACTGTAAAAACATAAAAAAAATTAATTTAACCATTGTTTTAAATTTAATTTTCTATACATTTTTAATTCGATATTTTTTCTATTATTAACTATTCAAAACCTACAATTTTTTTTAATTTTAATTAAAAAAAACACATCAGAGTAAAATTAATACCGTCTCAGTTTCACATTGAAGCTAAAATAATGTTAACTTACAAATTTATTTACGAACAGAGACTATATAAACTTGTAATAAAAATACATAATGTCGAATATTATTTAAATAATTAACTCTTTGATTGACAATTCAAATTGGCCACGAAACAAAACAAATTTTCAAACAACAAATAGCCTTGGCCATCCAACGAGCATGATGAATTGGGCCAGGAATTTTAAAATAAATTCTATGTAAAGGTGTTTCACCAAAAAATATTATGACCAATTCTAAAAGTTTCTTATAGTCATCTCGAGGTTGGTATTTTTGTAATTGTTCAAAACTAAATTTCAAAATATCGTCTTTTTTTGTTTTTAATTTTTCTAAAATAACAGTATCTTCTATTCCACTTAAGTAATTTGTTTTATTTATATTTTGCCAAGACTTTTGAAATTTATTGAAAATAGGAACATCTGGTTCAGATTGCGTATTAAATTTTACTTCAAAAACACTTTTCAATATAATTTCATAAATTTGATGTCTGCATAGTAAGTACAAAATATCACGCCCTAACATTTGCATGGAATTTATTTTAA